GGCCGCGGCCTTGGCTCTCCCGCTCCCCGAGGAAACCAAATGGGCTGGGGTGACCTTGACGGAAAGGTCGCAGCGGGTAACGCCACCCGGACGTCCTGGGCGCAGCTTACTGCTGCGGGCCGCTGTAACGCAGAGGAATAATTCTAACGCCTCGCACCCTGACGCTGAGAACAGCGGCGAGGCGTGCGCTGCACCCACAGCAGCACTGCAGCAGCTCTGGTGCTGAAGGCAGTCAGTAACACTGTGATCTGCCTCTTGTGGTGTGATATTTTGGAAGTGATATTTAATGTTACATCTGCCCTTTCAAAGGCCTCTGAAGACCTTCTCAAACAACATTACATTGACCTCAAAGACCGGCCGTTCTACCCTGGTTTGGTTAAATACATGAACTCCGGTCCTGTTGTGGCCATGGTAAGTGGCTTAATTTTACTTAAAGGCTACTTTCTTGAACACATTTGTCTCGCTCCGTAAATTACTTTAAAATACTCAGACACACTATTACAGAAGCACTTTTTCAAACTACCCCGTTCTGATAATGGCAAAATAAAACCAAAATTAAAATCAGGACAATCAAGTAAGAAGTTACTGTTTATTAACAAGAAGGAAAGTCTGTAAGTATAAAATTGGTATTAAAATGCTTAGTGTGTATTAAGCAAAATTCCTGAAAGCCAGTCTTCTGCACCAAAGAATCTTTTGTTTTGGGCAAAAAAGGGCCAGGGCTGTCCCACAGAAACCCATCTTCTGTGTTGTTCTTTTTCCCCACTCCCTCCCAAACAATGCAGTTGCCCTCATCGCAGTGTACCTGACTGGCAGCGCCTGCGACGCATCAGGCTGCGCTTATCCCAGCGGCACAGAAGGGGTTTGACATTGGCCTCACACATCCGTTCCCTCTGAGGCTTGGGAAAGCGTCTCCTTGACTAGGGTGACAATATCGATGCTCCTTTTTATGATCACTTGCAGTGCGTATGCTTTTTCCCTAGTCATCTTCATAGGCCTAAGAGAGAATCTAGGCTAGAGTAGTTTTTTTAGTGGTCAAGCCCTTGTTTCTTTGCAAAGTATGTTCCTAGCGAAGATTAATCTTTGGTATTTTGTATAAGCATGGATTAATAGGACCTGTTTGTCTTTTTTCCTCAAGGTATGGGAAGGACTCAACGTGGTTAAAACTGGGAGAGTAATGCTAGGGGAGACCAACCCTGCAGACTCTAAGCCTGGCACCATCCGTGGTGACTTCTGCATTCAAGTAGGAAGGTTTGTGCTCAGTTTGTTGTTAACCGAGATTGGAAACTCAGTGTTGTTAATCTTTTACTCTAGAAAGTCAAAACTGTTGGTAGTTACCCTAGTCTGATGGTATTGTATTTGCAGGTCACAGTCTGTAACTGCTGCTTAAGAAAATGGCTTGGTACAAAAGTGACTTTTTTTGAAACAGAGCTCCTCATCAGAGCTTCATGTAAGATCAGGGGCAGTTGTAGTCAAGTAGCTGCAGGCACCCTGCTAGGCTTAATTAGCTCTTGTAGCAGGGGTATTTGAATACTGTACACCTGAAGCAGTAGTCTTGCAGCTGTAGATGCTTCCTCCAAGTTTTTGCATATGGAGACCTGCGAGGTTGCTCAAAGTGTATCTTTATGCAGAAGAGTGCGTTTGTCTCCTTCCCCAGAAACATCATTCACGGCAGCGACTCCGTGGAAAGCGCGCAGAAGGAGATCAGCCTGTGGTTCAAACCTGCAGAGCTCATCGACTTCAAATCTTGTGCACACGACTGGATCTATGAGTGAAATGGGTTTCCACCATGAATCGTGCCTTCGTAACGCATCATCTCATTCCAGCTATTGACCTGGGAGCAATTATCACCACGGTTATCTTGGTCATTCTCAGCACTGTCCAATAAATGGATGATACGAACTGATTTGTTGTGGTGCATTCAGTGTAAGACAGACTGCCGTGTTCAGATGGTCACATAAGCCATTTTACTCAGTTGTTCAATGTTCTCCTCTTGTGGAAGGAACAGTTAATATGAACTGCCATGTACAGGCATATCAGACTAAAGATTCAGTGACTTGTTCATTGCAAAGTTGCTTTGAAGGCTACCGAAACACATGACGGTTGCAGAGCGAGTTGAAGGGATGCTTGAGCTACTTCCAGCACAGCAGAACTGAGCTAGAATGAAAACAGGACACTATGACAAAATCTCCCTCCCTACACAACTGTTAAGGGTGAAATACGAGACCAAGTGCAGAGCTTGCTCTCTAGTGAATGCTTACCTAATGCCACTTTCTTACATTAAAAGCCTTACCTGGTGCTCACAGCCTCATACGTGTGCTCAGACCCGTGTACCCAGTCACTTGAAACATTCACGGTTTTACAAATCGTGCATTTTTTTTTGATCTGCATTCCCTTAGGAGAGAGACAAGCTGGAATGCATTTATGTATGGGCCAAGGAGTGCCTTTAAAGCAAACAACCACTATTCAGAAAAAGACTTTTTATCATTTTTATTTTGTGTAAAAAAGGCAAATTTAGTGAATTATTCTCATCTTGTACACAAAGTTATAATTTTAATGCTTTTCACATCCATGCTGAAAATCTGCAGTCTCGTAAAAATGAAAGTAACATTAATTTCTCCAAAAGCATTTTTTCACTTAGTTATGTACATTGCGTGAGAAAGCTTTAAACACTCTCTCATTGACCACACAAATTACCAAGAAAATAAAAGATTAAATTTGTACAGATATTGATCTATATATCAAATACATACAGAAATGATGTAAAAACCCTATTTGTTTAATTCCCGCCCCCACATTTTCCCAAGGGCCAAAGCTGATGCCTTTTTTGTATAAATGGCTGTGGCTTTGTTTTAAATACGAAAATTAAAAGGAAGAAAAATTCAGTTTAAATCACAGTTTTTTAAAATCCCTTCCCAATAAAGGATTGTTACCAAATATATTAGCACCATCGTACAAATATTGACGGGAGAGGGTATTCACATCACATAAAACAACAATAAAAAAACAAACACACACTGAAACCCGTGTTAGTATCCGTAGAACAAGGAACTCATAACTGCTTTAGCTTTCCTCAGATGCAGCACGGAAAAGGTTAAAGAGTTGTATTTAAAATAACATAAAAATCATAGATCAGCAGAAAGATTTTGAGCAATAAAAGAAGGGCAGCTGCAAAGTGAAGTACGTAACTTGTGCTACCTTATGGTTATAAAAACCTGCTACGCCAAATATTGAAATTAGTTTGACCCCATGGAAGGTTTCAGATGTTCAACACTTTGCTGCTCTTTTAGCCAAGTAACATGGCTTCGAGTACAACAAAGACATAAAAATACCTCGAGCCACGTTACCAAGGAATGCTTTACAGATACAGTGCAGCCTGTACTACAGGTACCCCAGCTGACGGCCCAGTCTCTGGGGAGACCGCTCTAAATATCTGTAGAATTTTGCTCAGGTTTTCCTTAAATCTCTCCTCAGCAAGTGACTTCAGTTGGTTCCTCCTGTGGCTTGCTTAGGACAGACATCACTTGACAATTACAGTTAGGTATATTTTGAATTCAGAACACGAAGCTCCTAACTGAAGTCACGTGTGTGTCTCAGAACACAAGGCAACTCACATACTTTAGTGTTTAATGAATATTTTTTAAAGAACATTATAAAGACTGACAGACTTCAAATCCGATCCTTGTATTTTTCCAACACAGGAAGCGTGTTCAACTTCAGTGCGAATTTTCCCTCTGGACATTTGAAGACCAGCACTCAGAAGTCAGGTATGACTGGGAAACCAAGTTCTGAGTCTGGGCGAAGCCCAAGGTTTCACGACTTGGCAATGTACTTTGCTCATTACCAGCCCAAATTTTCACATTATGGAACACAAATTAATGTAACAGTTTTTCTACTGAAGTCAGAAGCTACTGATGAGAGAAGAAAGCAAGATTGTGCCAACCTTCTTCCAGCTGACTGGGTCAAACTGCAAGTTGTCGCATTAAAAAATAAATTAAAAAATAAATCAATAGTGATGTACTTACCAGACCAAATCAATGCTTGCAGAGCTTGATGTTACAGCAGGTTAAATGGAGAACACAGGGGAAAAAAAAAAATAATCAAGGTTCAAAGTGTCGCTACAATGGTCTCTAATCCTACTCCAATCCAGGCTGTTCAAACAAACACGACGGCAGGTCAGATTCTGAGAGAAGGTATTTGAAGTCTACCAAGCCTGACAAAGTCCTTTTTATGGCTATTTTAGAGAGCTAAAATGTCTTTACCACCTGAAACTAAAGATACTTATAACCTGATAACCAGATTATGTCAATGTAAGAAGCTGTTGTTAGAAAGGGTCATTATTTCAGAAATTTTACCAGTAAGGGAGAAAAGAATTCCAGACATTCCTACACTATACAGGACATTTTTCACTTCCAGTAGTAAACACAAAACTTTACATAATTAACCCCTCTTGCATAGAATGAGGTAAACCTGTGCATATTACCAATACTATGTACCCAAAGTTAGAGCAATATTTTAGAAAATAATCAAATTGCTGGTTTTCAACCTTCTATGCAATTTTTTGTTGTAAGCTCAAACAATATACAAAAACGGTCTCCTAGGGCTCTGTGGGTTGATGTCCTTTAAGCATTTCTTAGGCTGTAGGAACACGGGCATTAATCATTTTAATTTTTTTTAAGCCCTAATTTATGGTCAAGAGTCAGATGATCACTGTACTGCTCAGAAGGGAACCTGCTAAGACCCAGAAGCACTTACAGAACACATGCAGTTAATTCCTGAGAGTTTAGTTAATGAACCTTACTGGTAAAAGCTAAAGCTCTTGATAGACGTTTTTCCAGTCACAGCTCTGCAGGGCTGATTAAGCATTTTACTCATCAACTCCATGAATGACATCACTTACAAAAATGTACAAAGTTTAAAAATATGGAAAGATAAAATCCAAATTATTAAGAGCTCGTGCTGAAATATTTTGCATTTTACTGGTAGTCATTTTCACCCTTTTACATGACTTTTGCCTTTAAACAATCTGGACACTTAAGCAGAGGCAGCTAATGGGATACTTGAAGTGAGACAAAAGGATCCCAGGCAACAAGCAAACCCAGTTTATGAATTATATACTAGACAGTATATGGTTTATATACTGGTCTCAAGTCTCAACTTCTGTATTACACTATCACAGCACAAAAGGAATATTGCAGGCTGTGCAGAACTGAACTCTTTTTTTAATCCACAGCGTATGACTCCTTTCAGCTCACCTGAAACCACGTGGAAAATTGGTTTTGAATGTTCACAAGTAAGTATTTCAGATGGTAAGGAAACACCTAGGTCTTTCTGAATGGAAAAAAAATAATCAGAAGAATACTCAGAAGTTCCTTCCCACTACCAAGGGAGGCTGAGTTACTGTCCGTCTACGTTTCTTTAGTCTGAATTCATAGCTAGAACTGATTTTCCAAATGAGGGAATTTTCTAAAGTTCCAGTTTGGCATAGGGCTCTGTAAACATTTGCTGAAGAATTCCAAGACTACAGACATTCATGCACAGACAAGAGCTTTATAGTCCCAATCCAATGCCCACTGCAGTCAATGGAGACAAGGCTACTGATACTAATGGGCACTGAATCAGACCCTAAGGAACTTCTTTCTTCTTAAAAAAAACTCTTATATTTAAAAAAAAAGTATTTTAAACTAAATAAAAACATCTTGAGAAGTTAAAATCTTCCTCAGGCGATGGCTCCATTGCAACTGGGGCTACTCACTGAGTAGAGCTTTACAGGACTATCTTCCACACACAATTTATGCCTCTAAATTAAGGCTTAAAACCCAGAGGCGTGACCAGTGCAGTTCACAAGAGTCTAAACGTCTCCCAACTTGTACCTAAAAAAAAACCCAGAGGCGTGACCAGTGCAGTTCACAAGAGTCTAAACGTCTCCCAACTTGTACCAAAAAGGTTCATTTGTTATGACAGTTCATATGTATTTGCAACTATATCTTCCTCCAACCGCTTCCCACAATCATGCTAATTAAACTTTAATCTTACCAAAAAATTAGAATTTCAGTTCTTGTTAACAATGCACAATAAATCTGAACTTGAAAATATTACAAAATTCTTTCAAAAGCTTCAAATACAACACAAAAGTGTCCATTCTCGTTTTTAATAAATTGAAAAATCTTTTTCACTAAAATAGTTTCCCCGCCCTTCCAAAAAATTCTGAACTGAGTCTAACTCATCTACAGTTAGCAAAGTGCCCCAGGTACAGTCACCTGAACTGTACCACCAAAGTGGGAACAAAACCAGTCAGTCTCGGAGAAAGGCTCTTTTCCTATCACCAATACTCTGCCCCTCACTTTTCTGAGCTGCCTTATGGTTCTTGTTTGATGTAGTAACTGGCAGATCCATTGCTCTCCTGATCAGACGCTCCTTGAAGGAAGCTATACTCTTCTCCATCTAGTAACTCCTCCTTCAGCTGCAATGGAGTCACTAAAAATAAAAGACGAACATTAAAGATCTATAAAACTCAAAGCAAGCACAACTTTTCCTTAAATTTACTTAATACTATTTAAATTGGGAGCAGACCCCAGATTTCTCATTTTCTTATATTCTGCATTTTAGTGACTCTTCTTCGAACACTCAATATCCCACAAGAAGTAGATGCTTTCTGACCGTAAACTGAACCTTAAGTTATGCTCTAATATTAAACACATTTGAAAAAATTACTTACAATACTATATTCTCTACCAGGTTTTCTCATGCATTTACTATTTTAAAACACTGGTTTAAGAAGGTAACTGAACACGTTAATAGCAGTAATGACTGTTGCTCAGAACAACACTTATTTTACTGTTCACTTCCTCTTTAGTCTTTACGTAAGGAAAAATAAGATTAACTGTCGGCCATTTACAATCTA